ATTTATATATTTGTAATGATAAATACATGTCATAGTTTTCAGACACTTTCCAAATAGATCTGCATATGCTCTTCTAAAAGATTTAAATCCTGGAAGAAGGTGAATTATTTCCTATTACCACTGAGGGTTATAAAATTTAAAGGGGGAAAAAAGAGAGAAAAATGGCCTTTCTGCTTTTTATAACAGAGTAATCCAATGGTCTTTTCCAATCGAGAGGAGCAACTTCTAAACATATATCTAAACATATATCTGTATCCAAGGTTTGGACTGCTTTTTGACAACACAGGACATAAATCCTGCTTAGGAAATAATTGCCTGGGATGGTGCCAAGTTACCAGGTCATTCAAATCGATGCTATGTGCTATTGCACACTTAAAATTATTTACACTGCTCTTATCCTAGCTACAATCTGTTCTCTCTCACTAATGCAGTAGAGAGCAATTTACTCCAGAATACCAAAGTCCTTCTGATTTCATTTTTGCTCCCACATCTGCTGCTGTGAATGCAAGTCCTAGAAATAAAACTAAATAAAGAAGCACATAGAAGCTTTGGAGAAAGTGGGTTTTAGAGTAAACATCAAGGAAATTTTCAAATTTCTGTTTCTGACACTTTGTTCTAATTAACTTTAATGGTGGTTTGCAGTTGTTCTTTTTGCTTCCTTCCCTTCCTTTCATTTGAAATGAGGCCATATTGGAGGCTCATGTTACTTGCTCCATTGAAGTACTGGATTATTTGTGAAAGATAAGAGAGTCCTGATCAGCAGACCTGAAATGATTCACAAACCCTAGAAAATATCAAACATCAATGGTTTGTTAAAAATCTTACTTGTTTTATTATTAGCCCTTCATATTACATGTATCCATCTGAAAAGCTGTTGATAGTTCTTAGTTTTATTTGTTTTTTACATAAAAAAGCAGGGGCAGTTAGAAATTGATTGAGAAAATAGACACTGTAGATTGTAACTAATGAAAAATTAAACAAATCCTCATTATTGCAAGCCAAGAGCTGAGAACTTGCTCTGGCTTTTCTGGAGTTGCACAGTGGGAACCTAAAGATGGTAAACATGCCAGATATTTGGACATAATTAATCATATCTTCTAGAATTTTTTCATCATGGAGGACCATCAGTTCACAGTAGCCATTCTTGGTTGCCTGTACCCAAACTACCTCTTTTCTTCTCTACTAATAAAAGTTTTCCTCAGTAGTGAAAAAAGATACACAGAAAGTGACAGCCCATCTTTTTAAATTGTTGGGTCTGTAGTAGATGTTTGGCACTGTTATTGTCATCCTGTGATCATGGAGATAACTAGTGTGAGAATAAGACAATAAACTAGGTGGCAGAGCATGAAGACAGAAAGCCCCGGTGTCCCTGAGGACATTGTTGACCTAATGAAAGTATTCTATTAAAACCTCCTGTGGGGAATCAACCTTAGCCTATTGGGAAGAATGTTGAGTTCCACAAACTTCATGTGAAGTTGAAAAAAATCTATGTAAAAAATAAAATAAATTTGGATTTCTTTGGGGCCTTGTCCAATCTCTTCAACTCCACTGTGAATGACTTATGACTAATTTCTTTGGCCAGGAAGAAGAGATCAAAGGAAAACCACAGTACTTCAATCTCTGTCAAGTCACAGGATATGAAAACTAGATCTATTTAAAGCCTCAGATGCAGAAGATAACACATGTCTAGCTGAAGAAAATATTTGTGAGTTGGAACTTGAACCCTGAAAGCCAGACCAAACTGAACTCCTGGATTTGGGAAGTGGCGAGCAGGAAACTACAGCATTCTGGAGTGCTGCCTCTATCAGTTAGAAAGCAGATAGCTAAGTTACAGATAGTGTCAGAACAATAATACTCCAAGCCTGAAGAAGATGAGGCCACATAAGAACACATGGGGTCACATGTGAGGTAGCTGCATGCCTCTGGAGAAATTTGAGGAAGGATTGCTGGGTGTCCAGTCAGAGGGTGTTCTTTTTTTAAATTGTATCCCATCCTTGTTACAGGGCTGGTGTCTTCCATGAAACTGAAGCAACACAAAGGCTCTCCTTCAAACCCTGACTCCAGTAATCAAGTCAGAAAGATTTCAGACATGTCATTCAGTAACAGGCATAAGTTTATTAGAAGTAATAGAAAAGGGGAAAAGGAGCGCTCTCACAGGAGGAGAGGGACAGGGTGCTTCTCCTGCTCTCCACCTTTATTGGGGGTCCCAGGGAAGTTTCCAGAAAGACCTGCCCAGGTTCACCTCTTGACTTTTGATAGACAGTAGAACAACATCAGATTTTCAAGTCCCCACTGCCATGACAACTTTAAGTCTCTTTGGCTCATATGACCGGTACTAATTGGAACATATTCTTATAGATTTTATAGTTCAGAAAAATTATTCTTATCTCTCTGAGTTCTGGGATCTGGTCAGTAAAAGGATCACAAAAGTTCACCCACCCCCAATTAGGTAACTTGTGTTCTCATCAGCATTTTGGGAACTGCATTCCTCCTGCAGATAACAGGTTGTTTCTTGGGGAATGTAACATGTCTTGCCAACTTAAGCCAGGCAGGGCTGCAGGTAAATTGCTTCTTAGAAAAGAAACATGTCGGGGGCAGCACAGTGGGCCCATTTTATAGAATTATTCCATTAACCTCATGTTCCCAACATCTATGACTGTCTGTCCCTTATCACTCTAATTATTATGACAAGGGATAATAAGAGGTTTTGTTATTGCTTTAGTGAGCTATTCATCATTGTGACCAATGTATACAACAACAACTACTTAGAGGAGGGAAAATGTATTTGGGGCTCAAGATTTTAGAGGTCTCGGTCCATAGACGACTACTTCTATTTCTCTGGGCCCAAGGGGAGGCAGCTTTCCAGCAGAGGAAAGCTGCTCACCTCATGGCAAGGATAGGAAGCAGAAAAAGAGAGGAAGGGAAGGAAGGCACTACAATGAAGATGCACTCTTATTGGGTATGCCTCCTGTGACCCACCTCCTCCAGTAGCACCCCATGTGCCTACAGATTTCCCCATCCAGTTAGTTCATACAAACTAGGATAGGCTGATTCATTTGCAGTTCTCATAATCTAATTATTTCACTTATGAATATTCCTGCATTAACTGGAGCTTTGGGTGCATACCTCATATCCAATCCATAACATTTTGTTATCAAGGAAAAGTCACCTGATTTGGTTAAATAGAATTCTGGTGTGTGGAAAGCAACTCCACTTAGTAGTTAGCATGCTAAAATGACTTTTTAATTGAATATTACTAAGTTGTTCAGTTTTATTTTTTAAATGATGTTCATTAATGTTGCCTATTCATTACACCATGAATGAATGCATGTCAGAGAAAGATTGACTATCTATTTGATATATTGTGCAACAACTTAAGACTTTGAAATATTTTTTAATGAAACATTAATATGCCTAAGACTCACCTGGGGATCTTGTTAAATTTTCTGAATTCTGAGTCTACAGAGTCTTTCTATAAAAAAAAAAAAGAATTCTTTCTGGGTGAGACCCAGAAATCTGTATTTTTAAACATATTCCACAGGTTACTCTAATGTAAGTGACTCGTGTACCACCTTTAAAAAACTTTGCTCCAAGAATTCTCTATTAGAGTACAGATGTTATAAATAAAAATGTGTAACCTTCTCCTCCAACAAAGCTTTGCATTTGAAATATTATTCCACTGTTAGGAATGAGCTTGATACTGAATTATCCTCTTGGGATCTACAAACAGTGCATGAACTGTGATTTAGCCACCCAAGAGCTATTGCATTGCTGTCATTTTTTATCATAGACATTCCTTAAACTTTGTGGAGGGATTTGTTGTTGTTGTTGTTGTTGTTGAGGAAGAGGGATAACAAGAAATACGGCAGACAGATATCACTTGGTATTTTCTCCCTCACTGCAAGTGGGAGCATAGGAGGAAATCAAAAGTCCACCATCTTTGAGACCAAGAAGCAAAGTATTGCTTTGTGATTTTCTGAGAGAAAAGATTGTTATTCATTGCATTTGTAGTGGCCTCCTGGGACATTGTTTTACCATCTACTGGGGATCTAATAGGATCTTGCTAAATATCTGTCAAATTTACTGAATTTGGGACAGTTTCTTGTCTTGTAATAACTTTGAGAAAGTGACAGGTATATCCTAAAGTCTCAGCTCCAAGAGGTCAGAGAAGTTTATTTATTTATTTATTTACCCTATCGTTGTATAGTCAGTAAACAAATATTTGTTTAATGACTGAATGGGTGTATGGATTTATTCCCTACAACATTTTTTTTCATGACAGCAAGTTACAAAGTCATGTTTTAGCAACAGAACTTTCCTTTCAAAGAAGAACTCAGGAAGGACTCCTCTAGATAAAACAGATAAAAGCAAAATCAACAGCCTGGGTATTAGTGATGGCTTCTCTTTGCTTCTCCACCATCCTTCAACAATAAATTCTCCTGAAACAATTCCTTTGAACATAATTTAAAATTCTTGATCCATAGACTCTTCACAAGGTTCTTCTGCAACTTTTTTACTTTCAGCTTTTATACATTATAGGTTATTAAAAAATCTAACATTTGTGTAGTCAATACTTTTAGTAATAAGCAGGAAAGACTGTCTTCACAAGTGACATATGTTTTAATTTTCTAGCCATAAGATGTACATACCCTTTACTTTCTTTCTTACAAAATCTAAAATTAAAAATATCATGTATATAGAATTGAGAAATGTAGCTATATGAAACATTAATATCTTAGAGATTGCTTCTATCATATCTTCTGATTATTTATAGTAGATAATATTAGCTTTAATTTTTATTGTCCCCACCCATTTCCCCACTAGATTTCTACTGGCTCCTTTGGCACAGCTGGTGGAAATAAAACTCATAGTACACCCTGACTCCTGTCTCACCCACCATGATTCACCACCACCATCATCTCAGGTGGGCATAAACTAGTCTGATCAATTAGAACTAATACAATATGTACTCACTTCCCTAACTACAATGATTTGCTCAGGAATAACATATGTCTTGGGATTGATAGATGGATTATAGGAAGGCAAAGTCTCATTTCTACTCTACTGCTTTGTTATAAATGTGGGATATGGGGGATGCTAGTGGCCATGTTGCTTACCTCGTGGGAAAGAAGCCTTCCTGTAGATTGAAGTCAAGGAGAAATGAGTAGAGGTGAGATGGGGAGAGATGAGAAGATATTTGAATCTCTGGATCTGGCTATGTCACACACTGTTCCTCCTCTGACTTACCTACTATATAAGCTTAAACATTCCCTTTTCTCTTCTAGTTTATTTCTGTCACTTATTTTAAAAGACTGTTAAACTAAATACTACCTGTATTCAGAAGAACATAAAGAATCAATGAACTGCTACAGCACTGAAGAATATTGATAGTATTAAAAAGAATTTGTTTTTAACTTCTTATTTATAATATCAGAAGAACCATGTAAACTAGATATGAGACTCTACTGTGGGTCACTGAAATTTTTAATTAGTAAAACTTTTTTTTCAAATAGCTATGTAAGCTCAGCAGAGTAGCCCATACCTATAATCCCAGAAGCTCTCAAAGGTAAAAAATAAAAAAGAGCTGAGGATGTTACTGAGTGGTTAATCCTTGGTACTGAAATAAATAAAGAAGGGGGACAGGGAGAGGAAGAGAAAGAGAGGGAGAGGGAAGGGGGGAAAGAGAGAGAGAGAGAGAGAGAGAGAGAGAGAGAGAGAGAGAGAGAGAGAGAGAGAAGAAAAGGGGAAAGAAAAGAAAGCCATTTAAAAAGATCAGAGCTATAAGAATTCTAATAAGAATTCTAATATTTTATTCTGAGAAATGTCATTGCATGTGCTATGTTTATACTTTTCTAGGTAAGAGGGATGGAAACAAATGAAAAATGACTGTTTCTGTTGAATTAATTTTTTTCTTTTACATTTTCAAAATTTTAAACAGAAGTTGTGCATTAACTTTTAAATTACTTTCAATGAATTAATAATTCTAATGACGAAATTTTAATTTAAGCATTTAATTAGATCTTTAAGTGCTTCTTGTGTGCTAGGCTAAGTGCTTATGTGCATTAACTCAGTAATCCTCTTCACAATCTAATGGGGTTGATGTAGTAGCCAGCCACCAAGATGGCCTCCATGGATCCTTGACTTCTGATATACACACCCACACCAAATAGGAAAACCTAGACAACTAGAATATTTTATAAAAGATGATTTGTGACTTCTGAGGCTTAATCATAAAATATATTGCAGATGCTACCTTGTTCTCTCTTGAATTACTTTCTCTGGAGAAAGCTAGCTGCCATGTGGTAGGGATGCTTAATCATCTCTATGGAAAAAGTCTATAATGTGAAGCCCTGAGACATCCTGGTAATACCAGTACCAACTAATCATACATGTGAATTATCAGATCATCAAGCCTTAGAGTCAGAATAACCTGAGTTCTCATACAACAACCTGAGTCGGAACCATCAGGCTAAACTGCTCAAAAATTCCTAACCTACTGGGTGATAAATGTTTCTGTGTTTTTCTTTTATCCTAAAACACTATGTTCTGGGGGAATTTGTTATGCAGTAAGAATGAACTAATACAATATGTTCAATTGCTATCTCCATTTTATGAGTGAAAAAAATTGTCTTCAGGAAGCTGGAAAAATTAGCTCTATATCACAAATAAAATAAATAAAAATTAATTAATACTAAAGCCTGTTAGGTTGCAAAATCCCAGAACATACACCACACACACACACACATGCACACACAAATAAAACTTTGAAAGAGTATGTATTCAAGGAAAGAGAAAATAAGTCATTTTAAATGATTTTTTGCCTTCCCATAGCAACTACTTCATGAGTTATCTCCCATTAACAATGGGAAAATAAAAGAAAAAAATGATAATGGCATTTTTATAGTTAAAAATAGAACATTGGTAATTTCATATTTTGTAACCTAACAAAATATCTCCACAGCAAATGCCTCTTTGATCTGTAATGTCTTATAGAGCTTACAATATCTTTTGTAGTTTTTATAAGGGTTTGACGTAGAAGCAAAATGTTCACATATTATAAATATTCTATGAAATAAATTCACAAATAATTGAAATTTTTTAAAAGGAAGGTAGAAAGAATGACACAATTAAAAGGTGATGAAGAGAGAAAATATGTATGTAGGTCTGTGTACCTCCTTGTTCTTTGCTACCCTCTCCATCTTTGCACTTACCAAATCTTTGCCTTAACAAGTGGTATAAACAAATTGGATACCCAGATGCCACCCTCATAGACCCCATCTTTCTTTAATGCAGCCACATTCAACCAACATGTCTTAGCTGTCCTTTGTATACTCACCAAGTTCTGCCACACAAGAGCTACTGCCTGCACTGCAGTAAGAATATGTACCTGTGTACATGTGTGTCATTGTGTACTGTTTATAAACCAACACTCTCCATCCAGCTGTATTTTCAACTAGCTGCTGTTAATTCTGTTGTGACAACTCATCCTTCCTTCTACTACTCAGCACAACTGCCTTAAGATTTTTCCTTCATTTTGTTTATTTCCAGAATGTTGAAAGCAGAACCTCATTGCCTACAGCTGAACTATGTGAGCTACACAAAACATGAAGCTGAAATTAAAACAACCAGAGGGAGAGAGGACAAATGGAAAAAGAAGTTGCTGTTCAACTACACAAACTCCGGAGAGACATGAGACACCCAATGCTTCTCTCAGTGAGTAAGACCTTCAGAAAGCAAATATTCCACAGAAAAGAATGATTTAATATTTTCTTTAGTGCTTCTCACCACCATAGTTCTAAGATGAGAGCAGATGAGAATAGGGAAATAATATTGCATGGAGGACTTAGGAAGTACAGATTTTGGTACAAGCTCTGCCAATAGTATAGTTTTGGCAACATTTTCCAATTTTTTGAGTCTTACTTTTTCTTCTACAGAAGATTATGATTTCATTATAAAATTCCTAAAGTCACTTTCTGCTTTTTTTTTGCTTTATTTTTTAAAAATGTGGAGATCTTTGAGAGAGGGAGCCACAATTTAATGAAAACTATGGAAAACAGGCTCAATGAAGAAAATATTAAAATAATTATTAAAGGTAAGCAATTAATGTCACTTATTTTAGAAGAGTTCTTCTTTTCTTTTTCAGATGATGATCAGTGGTTCTTAGTCCTGATTTGGTTAGCATTAGAGGTTAGTTTTAAAGGGGACTGCATTGGATGCCATAAGTTCAATGGGTTGGGGGGAATAGGCACAATCTTCTCTTAAGGCAGTTTTCAAACTATGTGTGATTATCTCTTCATCTATTCCAAATAAAGAAGAAATATGTAGGTGGGTTTTCATTGATCATTTGATTTTATACAATTCATGGATGAAGTATTTGATGTAAGACATTAAGATCCCTACTTTAGTTCGTATTGCCTCTTTTCCCATTATCCTCTGCTGCCTGCTCCCACACTGAAACTCACTGGGTTGAGGGTGGAAGACGATGAAAAGACAATGATGAAACAAACTGATAAAAGCAATGGGCATTGATAAGGTGGCAAATGTTTAACAACCTTCTCTGAGGAGAGGGGTGCTTCGATTTGTAGTAACTGCCAGTTTTCATGGGTGTAAATACTCCCATCATGACTGATTTCAAGAAAACAATACAGCATCAACTGGATGAAAATTCAGGAGAAACATCAGCTCTCTTGAAGTAGCATAAGAAGTTCTAGCACACACTGAATAGGCATTAGCCAGGTGATTTAGAAGCTTGCTAGGAACTGCCAGGAGGAAGTAAGCTGTCTGGGGCTGGGATAGTCAACAGCAGTGGAAGGTATGAAAATATGGTAAATTAGGGACACAAGGAGTTGCTATGGTAAAGGACTGGGTTTGTGATAGGATGTCAGGGTAGAGAAGAAGCATGGGGAAAGAGTGTGGAGGGCCGGATACGTCATACTAAGCAGTCAGGAATTTATCTTGTGAACAGAAATAACCTGAAACATGAAGGTGTATTTTATTGTAGAGTAATGGCAAAAATCATTTATTTTAGGAAAATAACTGATACTGTATGAATCATAGATATATTCTAAGTCCAATTTGTGTTATCTTAAGCAAAAATTAGAAAGTTATTTTAACAATTACAGCTTTATAACAATTCATTGGGCCTAATGAAACCCAAAGTTTACTTGGGTTTTCAAAAACTACCAAGCCCTGGAAGCTGTCATGAATCCAAGACATGTTTTCCCTCTGTTTCTTTAGTTTTCTCTATACCTCTATTTATTTTTTTCAGAGAGTGGTCTTCTGGACCCAATTAAAAATTCCTGAAAAAGAATCTGGTTTATTTGTCTCTGATTTGCCCCTTATCCTATCACTTATCCATGATAAAGGTGGTGTCTTAATCAGTTGTTTTTATAACAAAATACCTGGGAAAAGAGATTTACTTAACTCTGTAAGTTCAAGAGCATAGTACCAGCATTGACTTCTGGTAATGACGTAAAGGATGTGAATAATATCACATGGAGGAATGTGTGTGTGGGGGGGTGGTGGTGGGAGGAATGGAGGGAAAGAGAGAGAAATTACATGGTGAGAAAGAAAGCAAGAGAACGATGCAGGGCCAGACTTGCTCTTTCATAACAATGTACTCTCATGAGAACTAA